GGCAGCTGCAATTAGATAATGCCTGTTTTCAAGTATTGTGGGTAAATAAAATGGTAGCTGCCTAGTTTATCAAGAAACTCTGCTTTTTCCTGCAGTGGTTTGAGGAAAAAAAAACAAAAGAAGAAGAAACAAGAGCTTTAAAAACAATAATGAATAATGCAACAAAAGAGGACTACTGTATACTATTTATGTACTACTGCAACTCCCTTGTCTGCTTGTCACCTTCAACTGAGTGAAGGTGACAATTTTTGAATCCAGGCATACCGCAAATATGCTAACTTAACATTAACGTGTCCCAAAACCATTACTCCCACAAGATTGAAATTTCAAGGATCTTTAGCCCAGTTGCATTGGCAAAGTTGTGGCCACTGCCATGCCATCATGCCATCCTGCAATACTGCTTTTTTTTTTTTAATAGCAGTGGTCACTTTATTCCTCCTTTCCAGTGCTCCCTGCCAACTTCCCACAAGCTGAGTCAATGGGGAAATTGGCAGGTGATTGGAACTCGCTCCTGTTCTCACTCTTTAAAATATATATATATATATACCCTGACTGTGGTTAATCTGCTCCTCTGTTTAGATAAGGGAATATCTCCGAAGCAATGAGCCAAGGGGTCAAGGGTTGCCTAGTCAAATCGAAACCTGTTTACCTATAAAACGTGGGAGAGGGAATTATGCAAACTCCTGCTACTGTCAAACTAACCCTAATACAAGAGGCTAACTAACTCTAATACAAAATGTCTCCAACATTTTGAGAACGTGGTCTTGGTTTGGGGCTTCCAGATCAGGGCTGCAAAGACCACCAGATGATCACTAAGAGATACAGACAATAACCCCCTGCTGTAGCATGGTAGTCATCCAGCTTTTGACTGCCCAGATAGCCCTTAGCGTTTCACAGTGCTTTCCAGTCCTCTCTAAGCAGTTTACAGAGTCAGCCTATTGCCCCAAACAATCTGGGTCCTCATCCCAGCTCAGGCGAATTCAGCTGCATGGACCTGAGAAAGGTTCAGAAATATTTGTTGCTTGTTTACAGGGATTATTGAACCCTGGGATTTAAACCTGGACATTTAAACTCCGGTGAGTTCTGATAAACATTAACCTCTGTTTCCTTTTCACAATTTGGAGCACTTCCGCCTAGCTACCAGCTCCATCCTTGAAATTTTCCACACCGAACACAAGTCTCCTCCTTTCCGTTTTGGCAAAGTTGGAGATGATTCCTGAGCTCACCAGCACTTTCTCCAGCCTCCTAAAAGACAGGGGTGAAAAAGTTACCCTCCGAGTGCGAGACCCGTATCCTGGCTTCATCCCCACATTTGGTCTTGCATTGGGGGGGGGCGGAGTAAAAGTAAAATAGCTGATCTGCCTGCAAAAAGTCTAGTAGAAGGAGACCGTTTGGGTGGGGGGTGGGGTGGACTAGATAAGGTCCTATAAGGTCCCTTCCAACTCTGATTATCTGTTATACCGCAGGGCTCCAAGGATGTCACAGTTGGGAAGTGGAGATTGGCCAGACATCCTGCCAATTATCACCTGGTCCACCTCCAAGACCCTCTTTTAGCTTTAGTTCAGCTGCCAATTGGAGCAATGGTTGCTTTGACTGCCTGAGGACAGCAAGGTATTAATGCTGTGGCATGGTGCCAGTCCAGAGCAGGCCCCATGGAGGAAGGGCTTTGGAAATGGTTCTGGATAGGTTTTGAAATTTCAGACCATCTTTCAGCCACGAATCGGGTCAAAAGATTTAAATCTGGAGATGGTTAATTTCACCCGATTAAGATACCACTTATCTTATGACTGGTCGCTTAGCGACCATTCAAAGTGATGACAGACACACACACCCCTAAAGCTACTTATGACCCACCTTTGAAGATCCAGCGTCCTCCCCCACCCACATTCACATGTTTGCACTTTGGGTGCTTGGCAACCACCCCACATTTACAGTTATCTGCAGCATCCCACATCCCACGACCATATGACCATTTTGCCAGAAGCTGACGTTTGCTTCCAGTTTCTGGCAAAAGCCACTCTATAGTGAACATTTATGACCACTGCAAAAAGTTGCAATATCAGGTCTGATCACATGGTGATCCACTTAACAACTGTCATTAGTGGTGCCAGTTGCAGGTCGTAACTTGAGAACTACCTGTGGTGCATCACCATCTCGTCAGAAGCCTTGAGACCCTTCCTGGTTGAAAGGTTGAGCCGATGACATCGCCATTTCCCAGGAGACGCCCAGCTGGGGTCTCCTTTCATGTCCCCAGCAGGAGCTAGAGCAAAGGATGGGAGCTCACCCTCCCCACAGCAGCACACGGGTCTCAAACACAGGCTTGCTAATCTCCAACTCAGCATCCTAACTATGAGAGTCACTGTATTCTGTGTCTACCTGTAAAGAGAAGCAGGCTGTTGTATTGATTCTCAAGTGCTGACCTCAGGCTTGAGAGACCTTGGTTCAAATCCATCCTCTGCCAGGGGGAAAATTTAGGCAAGTCGGTTTTGTTCCACCCAGCCTCCCTTACAGGGAGGCAAAATGGGAAGAGAGAGGTTTTCTTATATATGTCACTTTTGAGCTCCAGGAAGAAAGGCCGGCAGTAAATCAAACAAATAATAAATAACCTGATTTGTTCCCCTCCCCTTTTAGCCTTTGACTACGCCTCTCCTTGTACCCCACTCGACTTCTCTCCTTGCTCTTTTGTCTTCTAAGGTAACATTCATGCTATACTTCTAGTTCCTCTGGATAAAACAGGCAAGCCAGTAATACCAGCTCGGTTGTAAAAAGAGGGGAGGAAAGGGTGATCAGCCAGTTAAAAAAAAAAAAACCCCACAGCATTCAGCTACCTGCAGAAACTAGATTACACCATTGTTCCTGAGGTCTCCTTCTGGGAAGAGCTAACGATTTAGCCAAGGCTCTTTACCGCTGTACCTCAAACGGCCGTTTGTTCTATTGGCAATAAAAGGGTTTATCACCATGGAAAGCTTCACATGCTCAATTTCTGCAGGACCAGTTGGCTCACCTTACCCATAACAGAGCTGACAACTAATAAAACAATGATAAAACTCCATCGTAATGTAATAAATGACTCAAACGTGGAGGTGCTGCCCGTAATGATATGCCGCAGTCGGCATAAGTCATCCTAAAGATCTCAAAGCGCAGCGTAATCAAGCACGACAGGCACTTTGACAAATAAAATCACAGGCTCCCGGCAGGGATCCAGCAAATTGCAGAGGCCGGTGCTTAAGCGGCAGGATTGTGGAAAAAAGCCTCAGGTGTTTTTCCAGGCAGCATCTGACCGGGGCTTTCTGTATGTGCTCCACAACACCTGCTGTCTTGTCCGGCCCTTTGTGAGCCAAGCCAACTTTGGGATCCCTGGGGGAAAGGATCACGGGCTGCAGTTGAGCAGGAGGATAGGACAAGCTATTCATCGGTGGGCCAGAATTGAAGTTTTGCCCCATTTTTAATACTTGAAGCTTCTGGAAAACCTGCTTGTCTTACTCTAGCTTTTGGGCTACGGTCTACTGAGATGGAGCAAACATCAAGATTGTAGGGTTATTTTGTTATTGTTAAGTTGGGGTGGAAAACAGCCACAATTGGCATTTCAAGATGGCCGAGGGCTGCAAAGGGGAACAACATCAAATATACGGGCAAGGCTAGGGTTAGGGGAAGATTCTTGGGGTGTCTTAAAGGTGGCGTGTGCCTATTTGAGGGCTTACAGAATGGGTCTTCGACAATTCACCATGCCCAACTTGACACGGCCATCTCACCATGGCTAACTTGCCAGAGCCAACTTGCCATGGCCATTTCGCCACAGGACAATTCACTGCTGAACAAGAGCTACACTAATAACAAAGCAATGGTGGAATAAAATCATTAAAGAAAGGATGCAAGAAGAAGGACTGAATGAAATGTAAATGGCAAAAATAAAAAATATTTTTTTACTTATTTTAAATAATTAAATAGAATTGTTAAATTATCCCGCAGCAAGTTGACCATGGCAAGTTCTCCTGCAGCGAGTTGGCCATGATGACTTGGCTGCAGCAAGTTGGCCATGGCAAGTTATCCATTCCCTTACAAAACAGCTGACATCTGTCTCCAAGTGGCAGTAAGGACGGCCATCCGTTTTCAGCTGTCCTGATCAGGAGGGGCCTTAAGGGCTATAGAAAAGGTCTTTGGCTGGTAGTAACTCTGAGGCTGTAGATTGTATGTCCTTGCTTACTGTAGCCACAGATTCAGGATACAGTATAGCCTTACCCTTTACCCCAAAACCTTTCCAGATGTGTTTTTCCTCCATGATATTTCTTATTTATCTTAACAATTGCATAGAAAGAACTTATCAGACACAGACAGACAGACAGACAGACTCAGTAGATGCCAAATCCAATCTAAACATCTGGCTGACTGGGTGACCAACCCTAATAATAATAGAAATATATGAAAAATACACACATAAAAACCTACAGCTACCTAAGTAAACCAGTGAACTCTCCAGCAAGGATAAATCTTAGCAATGTTGTTTAATGATAATCAATGCGATGGATAGTCCAGCACATTGAAGGGTCCCAGGTAATGCAGAAAGAAGCCCAAAGGAGAAGTGCAGAAGTTGGCGCTTGCCATCTCAAGCATCCCTTGAGTCACATATGGGAACAGCCTCTATCTACTCTATACTGTAATAACAAGTGCATCGCACATCAGGCTGGAAATCGAGAGATTGTGAATTCTAGTCCTGCCTTAGCCGTGAAAGCCAGCTCTGGGTGACCTCTCTCTCTCAGGCAAACTCACCTCACAGGGTTGTTGTTGTGGGGGGAAACAGGAGAATATATTCGCCGCCTTGAGCTTCTTGTAGAAATAATAAAGATGGAATACAAATAAATAAAATCCAGGGAGACAGTGAAAATATATTTCTGTTGCAAAAATAACCCAGAGTTCTAAGATTTGGTGTGTTGGCTTTACCATACCTTTAACTTATTGTCCTTCCTGTCTTTTCCTTCTCTGTCCCTGTTTTTTCACCCTAGAAATCGATGAAGACCGGATCCCCAACCCACTTCTGAAGGTATATACTCCTGCTGTTCTCAGACTTGAACCATAGAGTCAATGTATGCATTTAGCAGAATAATGTAGTAATACACAAAAGCCATCCAGGATGATAATAGGGGAATACATTTCATGTATGAATGTGCACACTTCCCATAAAGTTTACTGAGAAGTAAAACTAAGAATGCCAGGAACACCAAAGCGCTAGTTCTTAGAGTGCCACACACAAAGCTTTCATTGGACTGGAATGAGTTTTACTGTTATTGCTCAAATTAATAAGCTTTAATAATGGGAAAAGATGGAATTAATTTTACGGCTACTTGAAGTCTCCCAACTGACCTGGCTGGGAGCAAAGAAGTACAGGAAATCTAGCCCTTTGCTGCCCTCCTGTGGTAGTCTAGATTTTCTCAACCCCGATCTTGTAGCCTCAATTGTATTTCTGGGATGATCTGCGTGTCTGATTCTGAAGAGACCAGAGGTCAATTTTGCTCTTTACCATGTTTTCCCCCATTGTTCCATGGGAGTGGGGAGGAGGATAGACCTCTGCAGATCATAAACTTGAAAAAAGGGAGTGCAGGCGAAGAGGCTTGGGCTGGTTCTAGCTTGTCAACTAAAGGCATGAGCCCAGAAAATTGTAGTCTTCTAACGCACCAGATAATGTGCCCATCACAAAGAAGAAGCTGGAACTCCAAATCTTCAAGAATTTGTTTCATTCATTCTTGTTTCAGTCTCTGAGTAACAAGAACTAGATGCAACACTTAGTTAAAAGGTTGTCCATTGTTAGGAATGTAAGTCACCTAACAGGTTAGAAATATATAAACCAGGATAGACATTTTAATACTGTCTCTTTAAGAGCATGCTAAAAACTGCAATTGGGTGTGGTTACTCAAACGGCCATAAGATGGAGCCAAGTGAGTGAGTCTCTGTTTTTCCTTCTGCTGGAGAGTATTGCTGTTCCTCCATTTTTCCTAATTGACTGATATTTCTGGATTTGAGGTAAGTCTGATACTGAACTGTTTTTGACACTGGGCTTTGTTATTGGATTATCCTTGGATTGAAAACTGACTGATTTACTTGTGAATGACTTTGGACTGCTTATTTTGACCTTTGCTTAAACTTTTCTGAAAGTAAAAACCAACATTTACTGTACAGTGTATCTGTGTGCTGTGTGTGTATTATTCAAACACTACTCTCTATACGTCTCCCTGTATGCACTCATTCTCCTAACGGGGAATTACCTCAACCTATATTGCACCTGAATTTTGGCATTTTGTATCTCTTAGGACTTTCTCTTTCTTCTCTTTGCAGCCAGGATTGTCAATGTCCCCAAGGCAGAGGAAGAAGGTCTCTCGCACTACTCCAACCATGAAAGGTAACTGGTCCAGAAGCCATGTGGCTGTACTGAAGGACGGAATCCATCACGGTGCCTAGGAAGCAGCAACAAGATAGTTTGCTGCTTTCTGAGCCTCAAAAGGGCTCACTGTTACGTCCAGCAGTTCCCTTGCCCTTCTTGAAATGATAGGGAGAAAGAAGGGGGAACATTTGGAAAGGTAGTCTCACCAAATAGTCTGAGTTTTCTTCCCACTCCAAATGAGACAACGCTCAGCCTTCTTGTATGTCCAGATCAGTGGTGGTATTCCACTGGTTCGGCCTGGTTCTACCGAACCGGTAGTGCCGAAGAGCAGCGGAGACTGAACTGGTTCTCTCCAACACTCTGCTGTTGTGCCCACCTGCCTGCCCGGGCTGCCATACTGACCTTTTTTTCCTGCTTTTGAAGTGCAGCTGCTTTGTGCAGCACAGCAGATTGCCGTGTGGTGGCTGCTGAAGCGACAAGGAGAGTGCAGGATTGCAGGAAGTGAGCCAGAAAGCCCCCGAGCCTGCGCAAAGTACGTGTTTGGCGCATGCACAAAAAGTGTGTGTGTGCGCGCATGCACCAAACACGCACTTTGCCTAGGCGCAGAAGCTTTCCACCAAGCCATGCCCACCGAACCAGTGGTAAATGTTTTTGAAACACACAACTGGTCCAAATCACAATCTGACCTCACCCCCAATCCCCTGTCCTATTTTCGAAACATGAAGTGAGGGTGAGATGAGTAGTGAGTCAAATGCTTGCCGGCTCTCTGTAGAACAGAGCTTGAAATAATATCCTGTTGTTAAAATGGAAGGTCCACAGGCTGATTGTGGGTTTTTAAAAGGTGTACACATATCTTCTTTCTTGCTATATGCGCTATACCAGACATTGCATCCTGCGATACTCATTAAAAGAGCATAGGGTTTATTTTTGGATGAGTGTCACCACCTTGTATATAATGTACTCCCCATTAGCTTGTAGTATTCAGAACTTGTCAGTCAGTGCTAAGATTCCTTTAGCCTTTCCATGGTTTTGTAAGGTCTTTCTTTCTCCTCCCCCTCCCCCCTGTTCACACTCCTCCCACCTCCCTGTAACTTTTCACACATCCTGCCTAATCCCTACCAGGATCATGTTTCATTAATTTTGCATTAAAGCAGTTTATCTCTTTGTGTTGGTCCTCTGCATTCTCTCCAATTACCAGCCTTCTCCTCCTTCGTCTTTGACTCCCAAGTGTTGCAGTGCCTCATATAATGCAGGATGCAACTGTCAGGCTGGGGTGGGACTGCAGCAGCCACTGCAGAGGAGTGCAGAGATCAGCATTAAAAGCCTGTCAGAAGTTTCTAAATTAGAATATTCAAGGAAAGGGGAAACATCACAATCCAGGAAATAGATACAAGAATTATCATTGCCATTCAAGTTTCAAGGTCAACCTGTGAATGGCTATTAGGAATACTGTATTATTAGTCTGAAGGCTAGACAGGAGGAATGTGGAGAGGAGCAAAGAACAATAAAATAATCCTCTCCTAATGATGCATTCCACCTACAGTGGTTTCCAAATCATCGGTGAATCTTTGGGAACCTGTTTAGCATAAGTGTGGCCCAATTTCCCATAATCTCTAGCCATCAAAGGCATCTACGAAGCTGAAGTTCACAAATTCCAATATCTAAGGGACTGCCACAAAAGAAGAGGGGTGTGTGTGTGTCAACCAATTCTCCACAGCGCCTGAAACTAGAACAAGAAGCAATGGATGAAAACTAATCAAGGAAAGACGCAACCTAGAACCAAGGAGAAATTTCCTGACAGTGAAAACAATGAATCAATTGTGAAATTGTTTGCCTCTAGAAGTAGTGGGTGCTCCAACATTGGAGGTTTTTAAGAAGAGATTGGACAACCATTTGTCTGAAATAGTATAGGGTTTCCTGTTCGAACAGGGGATTGGACTAGAAGAGCCCCCCCAATTCTAGTCCCTTCCAATTCTGTCAAAACTGCAGGCCACTTATACTGTGTAAGACTAACCAGTAGATATGTTCAGTGGTGGTATTCAGCCGGTTCGCACCGGTTCAGGCTAACCGGTAGAAAGGATTTGGCATGGGTCACCGAACTGGTAGTAAGTTCTGGCTGGCCACGCCCCTGACCTGGTTGCCACTGTGTCAGCTGGTGCTCAATTCAAAATCCAAGAAAGAAATTCTTAGACTCTTTTAATTAGAGAAAAGATATCTTTTACTGGAAATGAGGTGGTAGCAACAAGAGAATTCTGAATCTGAGGAAATAGGCGCGTAAATCACATATACAAAGTGATGGAAATGTTCCCACCCCCAGTAGTTCAAATGGTTCTTCCAATTAAAAGTTGTGGATATCATCATGTGGACATCTTCAGGTGGTGGTGAAGTTTCTGTCCGTTGCCATACTTTGATAAAGATTTGCAGCTGTGCAGAGAAAAGAAAGCTAAGCAAGAAATAGAAACCTAAGCAAGAATGTACTCTCCCCCTTCCTCAGTTTATACAATGCTAGTTTGTACCACCTCCAGCTCGCTTCCCATACTTGTCCCCCCTCCTCCCCCCGTTACTTATGGCAGCCGAAAGATGCAAAGCAAAGGTAGAAGATCTTGAAGGCTGACACACTGGCTTGCTTGCCCCGCCCACCTGATGCTTGCTCACCCTGCCCACTTGACCCTCGCCCCGTAAGGTATTTCTTTCCCCCCCCCCACTGACAATCAGCTGTTCATATGATCAGCTGTGCCAGGATTCCCCTAGCTTGTCTTACTGCTTCACCCAGGAGGATTCCCTGAGGCCTAGCAAGGCAAAAAAATGGAGGGAGGGGTGCAGGCCCCCCTCTCCATTTTTTGCCTTCCTGAGCCCCAGGGGAGCCCTGAGGCCCAGAAGGCCCCCAAATGGAGTGCGGGGGGGGGGGGGCCCGGGCCCCTTTTTTTTTTTTCCCCCCCCCCCCGGGGGGGCTCCTGGCAGGAAAAACACCCCCCCCCCCCCCAGGAGGCTCCCCTGAGGCCCAGAAGGCCCCCAAATGGAGCGAGGATGGTGCTGCATGTTGCCTCTGATTTTTTTTCTTCCTGAGCCCCAGGAGAGCTTCCTGAGAGCAAAAACACCCCCCAGGAGGCTTGCCTGAGGCCCAGAAGTGGGGGTGGCTGCAAAAAAAGCCACTCCCACCCAGTCACATGGCCATGCCCACCTAGCCATGCCCACAGAACTGGTAGGAAAAAGTTTTGAATCCCGCCAGTGGATATTGTAGTGTATTTAAATAGAGACTTCTAGGGCGATGTTCCTATTGGTTAGCAGAAGCAACGATACGATTGGTTAGTAACGTTAGTATCTGATTGGCCGCCTATAGCGGTGGGAAGTTTAACTAAATGTCATTGGTTGCGAGCCGTGGAGCAGCCGCTATAAAAAGGGCTGCTGTGGTTCGAGTGCAGTTGAAGTTACTGTTTATTATTAAAGAGCTGAAGTCAACTCCGGTCTGCGAGTCTCTTTACTGGCAACAGAACAGATATGTTCCTTAATGCACGAGAACAATTTGCTGTTTTCAGCAGAGACTTTAAAAAAAAGTAAACATTTCCATAAGAATCAAATCATCCCGGGATCACAGTTTTCATGAATTCTGCCCACCTCTACTTTTCAGAGCTCCAGCTGATGGTCGAACACCATCTTTGCAAGCAGCAGAGAGATGAAGAGGAAGAAGACAGTGCTGAGGTACAAGAGTCACACAGTCCAAGCTGCTGCCCTCATGCCAACATAGAACCGGCCCACAGTCCCGAAAGCTGCCCTTTGGCTCAAGCCCACGCCCAGCCGGAGTCCCAGGAAAAACCACACTCTGGTCTCGAAGAACGTGAGTATGATCCTATCGATGTAGGGCAAGCTAGGCTTCCTTGGAGCATCTCACTTGTACCCACTTCCCATGAAGAAGGAAGCCTGCCTAGATTGCTTCAAGTCTTGACCCCAAACCTGACCAGATATGTGCTTTCTTCAAAGGAGGTAGTCCAAGCCTAGTAAGGAGCTTGAAGTTCTCCAGATGTTACTGAATCACAGTTCCCAACAGGCTTGGCCTGTGTGGCAACATTTGAGAGTCACAGATTTTCCACCTCTATCAAAATGTGTGTGTGTGGGGGGGAACCTCCTTTAAATTCACTCTTCTTTCATGAAGAAAGTTCATTTTCCATGGAACAGGAAAATACTTAATAAAATAGTCCCTTGAGGCATACTGCTTTTGGAAAATATGTATTTTTGTTTGTTTGTTTTGTTTTCCCAGTGCATGCTCTTTTCATTCATGCCCTAATATTATAATGACCAAAGGCCCTTCCAAGCCACCAGCTCTGGGAGGAAGGATCAGGGTCCCAAGTTCAGGCTTTGATTGATTGATTGATTTTCTTCAGAAATGAAGGACCACGATCGAGAGAAGTAAAAAGAAAAAAAAAGGACTTAGAAATACCACAGTGGGATAATAAGAAGGCGGAGCAGGATTTGATCTGGGCTAATTTCATGCCCTGATCCATGCTGCCCAGGCTGACACACACATTAGACCAAGCACACTCTTCAGAATTTGCACTTCTTTGAATATTGCCTTGTCCATTTTGGCTCAAAGAAGACAATGCTCTTCAAAGCTATACCAATTTCAAAGGAAATGTCTGCTGCGTTAGATAGTTTTTTTAAATGCATATGTGTCTGTGCTTGTCTATGGTGTGTATCTGGATGTCCAAATAGAGGATTTATGCAGATTTTTTAAAATTGCCAATCCAAGGCAGGACACACTAGATCCATTAATATATACATGGCAAGTTAGCGCAGGCCCAGAAAATAATTGATCTGTCCAAAACGTCACAGTGTTCAGATTTCTTCAGTTTCCAGTGGTGACCTAAATTATTACGTGTACCTTATCCCACCCACCCACAGTCACCCCCAAACTGAAGAGGAACAGCTGAGAAATAGTCCTTTTCCTGCCTGTAGAATCCAACTCAAGTCATTCAAAGAACGTGACCTTGACTCTGTATATTGACGCAATGCTACCATAACATGGGTTCCAACCTAAACTTCCGGCTTCTTTCCCTAGTGGCCAGGCAGGCTGTTGTGGCTGTGCATTGTAGCTCCACAGCCTGGGAGAGCCGCAATTTCTCCACCACTGACATAAGCCAGTATTTCATCAAGATGCATGTTAAAGCAGTGTTGCTGCAGATCCCTTTGATCAGCTGCGCAGGTGGCAGAGCATATTATCTATACCAAAGCGCCCTGGATTGTATGTTATGCCTGATAACAACCTACTTTGGCTTCATAAGTCAGGGAAACAGTGGCCTCCAGTGGCCAAAGGTGTGATGACCCAGGGTGGGATACAAAACAAACACAGTTACAGAAAACAGGTGAAGCCCCTTTTATTCCTTCACTTTGCTTCCAAGCTCCGAATATCTTTGACAGAAGACCAAAAAAAAAAAAAAAACCCACACAGTTATACGAAGAAGGAAAAAAGCAACACAAACCAGGCAAGATAAGGGCTGGAGGATGTCCCAAACTCTTATCCAGTTGTCACAGCTGCAGCCCATGAAGAGGATCAAGGCCCTCTCCTCCCGAGGAGACCACGTCTCTCCCTTATCTCTCCTCCCTGCATGACCTAGGTCAGAGAGGGGATGGGCCTGGGTCTTCCTCTGACTACCTAGCCGGCCTCTGCCCTTCCCCAGCCTCCTCCACAACCTCCAGAGCCACACTAACACTCCCTGTCGGCTGTTCTCCTCTCCCTCAGAGTCAGTCTCCACCATGGGCATGACAAAAGGCTAATGTGACAGCCAAGTTGGTTTTGGCCATACTGAACTACAGGTAGCCCTCGATTTGCAACTATTCTTCTAGTGGCCGATCAAAGTTACAACGGCACTGAAAAGAGTGGCGTATGACCGTTTTTCACAGTGACGACCTTTGTAGCATCTCCATGATCATGCAATCAAAACTCAGATGCTTGGGCAATCGGTTCAGACTTTATGACCGTTGCTGTGTCCCAAGGTCACATGATCCCCCTTTTTGCAACCTTCTGACAAGGGAAGCCAGATGCACTTAACAACCGGGTTACTGGTTTAACAACAGTGATTCACTTAACGGTGGCAAGAAAGGTCATATAGTGGGGCAAAAGCGCACTTAACAAATATCAACAACAGAAGTTTTGGGCTCATTTGTGGCCATAAGTTGAGGACTACCTGTATTTGAGAGTAAAATCAAGCCATTCTAAGCTCATCCATTGCCCCGGGTGTCTTGCGTGTTTGCACACAGGAGGGGAGGATTTAGATCCCTTGCTATCCCTATAAATAATGCATTAAGAATGTTCTTTTTTTAAAAAAAAAAATCAGCCTGGAATCCCTTACCAAATTCTCACAGCACGAGCTGGCGCTACAGTGTGGTGTCCCTGGATAAGGAGCATCAAACAATCGCAGCAGAAATAGAAATAGCATGTAGGTTTATATACCGCCCCACAGGGCTTTACAGCACTCTTTGAGTGGTTTACAATGTCAGCATTATTTGCATATTGTCCCCGACAATCTGAGTCCTCTTTGTACCAACCTTGGAAGAATAGAAGGCTGAGTCTTCTTCAACCTTGAACCCCGTCATGTTCGAACTCCAGGCTGTGGGCAGACTTTGCCTGCAATACTGCACTTCAACCATTCAGCCACTAGGGCCGTGGTGGTATTCTACTGGTTTGGCCCGGTTCAGCTGAACCGGTAGCTCTGACAATCATTTGTGAGTTGAACCGGTTCACTACAATGGCCCTATGCTGACTTTTATTTTCTGCTTTTCAATCTCAGCTGCTTCGTGTGGCACAGCCAACAGCCGTGCATCAGCTGTTTTTTTTAGTTTAGTTTACTTTATTGTCATTGCACCTCGTACATCAAAATCAAACACCATCTTCAGTGCACATCATGACCATGACCATGAAAATAAACACAAACATGCATCCTTCACCCTCCACACATTGAATTGAAAACCCCTGATATTGCATTAACATTGCACTATACAGTAGGATTCAAAAGAGCTACTGCCCTGGGATAGAAACTGTTTTTCAGCCTATATGCCCTTGTTTTTATTATCCTGTACCGTCTGTAATAGTTCAAAAAAAGGGTTCCCAGGAAGAGATGGATCTTTGAGAATGTTTTGAACTTTCTTAAGGCAGTGGGAGCTATAAAGCTCTTCCAAAGAGGGGAGAGGGCAACCAATGATCTTCTGGGCAATGACATTAACCCTCTGGAGTGCTTTCCTATCTGCCACTGCACAATTGGCAAACCATACAGAGGTGCAGTAAGTTAAAAGTTTTACACACAGGGCTTGCAGCAGAAGCTTGGGTTGCAAACGCTGCGCATGCGCAAAGTGCATGTATGTGCACAAAGGCGCGCTCACACCAAACCAGTAGGAAAAATTTTTGAAACCCACCACTGCACAGGGCAGCACATCGTATGATCTTTCAAAGGGGAAGGAAGTTGCAGTTGAGGGAGAAATATCAATTACTGAAAGAGTACAGCCTGGGCTTATCCCGTCATAGAGGTAGGCTAAGTAACTTTCTGGTGTATCAGTAACCTAGGGGTGTTTGTGCCCCAGTTATTCACACATCTTACAAGAGACATCTTTGAAGAAAGCACACTATTGGAGGAAAGTCAGCAGTTTGTGGATGCTCAGTATTTTCCTGCATTTCACAGGATGTAATCAGGCATCATTGAATTTCTTTCAACCACCCACAATTCAAATATAGAAACACCTACTCGAGCAAAAGAATTGATAGGTGTGTGATCATTTGGCTCTTTGAAATGATTAAATGGACTTTCAGCATTGAAGAGTGGTGTGTGCACGAGTAAAGGAGAGAGTTTGCAAGCAAAGTTCTTATTTGTTGGTTTGTTTTATTCATTCATTCATGGATTAGGGCTTCCGTATATGTTCTCCTTTTTCTCCAGGAAATATACATCACACTTCCTTCCCATTCAGTTTGATTGTCACAAATTATCCCGTGAGGTGGTGCGATATATTGTGTAATCTCTTTAGCTAACCCACACTCTATGTGTGTGTGTGTGTGCGAGAGAGAGACAGAGACAGAGACAGAGAGACTGGCCCAAGGTCACCCAATTGGCTTCATGTCTAAGGCATGACTAGAACTCATAGTCTTCCAGTTTCTAGCCTGGTGGCTTAACCACTACCCTAAATAGGCTGCCATCAAAGGCTTAGGCACACCATTTTAATTTAGTACTCAACAGATTCTGGATGACTGAATTGCAAATGTAATGAAGAGAGTTTAAGGAGTGGTAGGAAAGATGGAATTTACACACACACACACACACACACACACACACACACACACTGCTGTGTGGATGAATGTGCAACATAGTGAATTTAATTGATATGAATGATGGTTGCCAAAAAAATGTGGCAGAAGATTTAATCTAGATTTTAAAAAACTGTACAAGTTCAATTACAAAATCAGAAATGCAAATAAGAAACAAGCAATCGCACTGATTCTTATAATTTAATGTGACAGCATTCTGCAGTTAGGCTATGAGACGTCAGGCAGAGTATGTAAAATGTGGATTTGCTTGAGGCAGGAAAAAAAATCAGGCTGGCTCTGCAGAACACAATCTGGGTCAGAAACTATTAGCTGCATGTAGTAAAAGAAAACACAAAAATAATTTAGCACATGGCTATCTTGCAATAGCAATAGAAAGAGGTTCAGAGATGTTACCATTCACTGAAAAATAAAAACACTAGCATTTGTGCCTTATGGAGTTACTTCCAGAGTAACTCAAGGAAATAAGTAACTCAAAGAAATAAGTTTACTGCAGATACCTCAATAGCTGCATCTCGTCTACAACCACTTTTCTTGTTTTTCTCTCTCACTTTTAAAGTCGATTTTTTTTAAAAAAAATCCACCTCCTAGTTCAGCTCTTCCATAGCTTCTAGGTCTATTTCCACTACTTCTTCCATATTTCCAGATTGGTGCACTGTTTTTTATCCAGAACTCCAAACCGTATACATTGTTCTTTCACCTACAGCCCCCCCGATCCCAAATGTTCACAAACGGAAAGCAAGCTGCATGGCCTTCCCAAAACAAACCACGATCATTTTTCTTCAACGTTGTTCCACTAATAGGGAGCCTCCGTTCTGAGCCTGGAATGAACGTGAGGATTCTCCTGCAGGACTAACCTCCCTGCAGGTAGCCAGCATATCTGCTTCTCTCTCCCAACAACAATTTGCGTAGATGCAAGGTAGATTGGGTAGAAGAGTCAGCTGACGGGCATGACTGAGGAGAGATCCTGAGGAGCTCTCCCCCGCTTCTTCAGGTCCCACTGGTGATCCCAGAGAACTGCCAGGGAAAGGAGACATCTGCAGTAGGACTTAAGGAGAACCACCTCAAAAAAAAATGGCTAATTAAACAACAGCTCTTAGGTACAAGCATCCCAGGCAGAAAGAAGGCAAGCAATGTTACAGCTTACATACTCTTAGCAAGATTTTCTGTTGCATTGGCACAGGAGTAAGAGAGAGAAAACAGGAAAGCCGTCTGTTGCTCAAATATTATTAATGGTATAAAAATACAAGCTGCAGCCATTTACTATATCTCCTTGCTTACAGAAACATGTCTTAGTTTTTTGTTTCCTTTCCCCAAGCTGATTGGCATCGTTGCTATTTTGGCACAGCCGTTCTGATAAAAGCATAAAACCCTCTCCCTGATATTTGCAGCCAGCAATGTTGCAAAGTCAGCCCCAAAGCAGGCATACTTAAAGGACAATTATCCTCGAATCCTACCCCAACTCTTTCCTCTGTTTCCTACCAAGGATTTGATAAACTAGGTGGGAATAGCAGTGAAGTCCTCGTATTACAGCTGATAGGCGGAAAGATGCACAAATGAGTATATAAATGTTCAGATCACTGCTAGTATTATACTAGTATAATAGTATAATGCTAGTATTATACATACTTAAAAAGATAAAAGAAAGCACAGATCAAATAAAACTATTCTAAAAAGTGACTCCTTCCATGCACAATTTAATTTTTTTTTTTTAAAAAAAAACCACAGTTTAACTCTCTGCTCTTTCTTTTCAAACTCTACACACTGAAGCATTTCTCCCTAAAGAAACCGTAACACTGAATTATTTGGGACTCTGACCTCCCTGCTGAGTATGGGAAGTCAATTATTCTGCTAATGTATGCAGACCTAGTTATCTCTTGTAAGCCACCTTTATTCTGAAAGGCAGCATCTCTAGAGACTTTAAATAATGTTACACGGTAGATTAATTAGCAGCACGAGGATGCTTTTCTTATTTGTTTTGCTAGCATTTACACTCCTGGAGCGCTCCCAGATTCTTCTCCTTGCTTTTTTAATTTGAGGGGGGGGAGACGGGGCAGTGGCAGGCAGCATCACAAAAGCACTCTTGCCTGAAATTGCCTCCACCCATTGACATAAACGAAGAGGGTGCATCCCGTTCAAAGTCTGTGCATCCATGAGTTGGTGTGGATTGATTAGTTTTGGTTTGTTTCCAGTTACTTGTTGGGCTGCCTCCTCAATCAATTTAGGGATGGGGATTGATGGTCATGGCCCAGTAGTGATGGGTTTTAATTGCTGTCTACCCAATCCCCTTCCAACAGCTACAAGCCATCTAGAACCTATCTATACCTACCTACCTACCCAGGATATTATGCACAACAGTGCCTGCTTATTAACAGTGCATCTCATTTGGCATTTCTTTTCTCAGTGACCTAGTTTTGGAGAGATTTCCCAGGAACCTGACAGTCTTCATGTCTTGTTTTTCTTTTCTTTTCTTTTGTTTGAATTCTATATCCTTTCGTGTTATCTACTTAGATTTTGTCATTTCCCAGTTTCTCCCCTGGTCCTGATGCACTATGAATGAAAGAAAAATCCTCCTCCTGCTCTTTTCTGCTGATCTCCCCTTGGAGATACACACACACACACACACACACACACACACACACACACACACACGTATATGTATTAATGTATGCTTTTTTTTTTTTTTTTAACAGAGGGAAAAGTCACAGAAGCTTGCGGTGTAGGGAACTCTGACAAAACGAGGTCTTACTTGTGCCCAGAAAACCAAGGGATTCATATATCACTGGAGAACTCCATGGAGAAGGACAGGCTGCCCAAGGAGTAAGTGTAATCATATATCGGGGGAGGGGTTTGCTATTCAGACATTTTGTTTTGTTGAACAAGCTATTCTTCTACGTGAACAAAAATAATCACAGGTTGGTCGGCCAAGTTTTGAGGGACAGGACATTCCAAACTCATGACTTGATCATGGAGATCATCCATGGGTTTTTGACTAGGAGTGACTTGATGGCACACAGTCATATAATCAATCACTCAGTCTTGACTTGTATCCCTGATTAGAGGCTTGAGCAAGACACAAAAGCAAGTATAGGAATAAGCCAGGAAATGGCATTCTCATGAACACATCACATAAAGTATCACGTAGTAAGCAGAACCGGAAGTTCAGTCTGGAACTGTGGTTTACTGTCTTAACACGTCACTGACCAACCTCCCTGATTCCCCCAGCACATTAAATTAAAAACCAAACAGATAAGGATTTATGTGAGCAACCAGCAGTGTGATGACACCATGTGCAGTCATGCACACAAGAGCCAGATCATCGGGCGAAACCTCACCAAGATAAGTTCTTGATAGGTTCTCAGAAGCTGAGTCACAAAAAATTGTTCCAGCGACTGAATAATTCCAGAATTGTGACTCGGTGGGCAGTAAATTGAATGAAAACAACCCTGGCTCTTGATCATCATTATTCTCTCCGGCTTGTTACTTCCCAGATAGCACCACAGAAACCAGGGTTTGGATGCAGTGCAGGAAATCAACACCCACAAGCTTGGAAAAAATAAAATCCTGAACATGCCTTGTGTTGGGCAGCAAAAAATGCATCACTTTCCTTGGGGGGGGAACCAGCCACGATTATGGCGGTCAATTCTCCTTTCAGCTTGGATTAGCTCAGCTGCAATCAAATAAAGAGAAAGGTTGCATTGTGCTGCTATGCTCAGAGCTCAGCCTAATCCAAACTGACGCTCACTTTTTCCTCAAAGGGGAGGCAGGGTTAAGAGAAGCTGGCTTCATAAGGGGGCCTGGGCCTTCATGGGGCCCCTTCCAACCTGATACCCAGCCTAAAGCTGCATACATCTCGTAAAACTCTCCCAAATCTTAGGGAGCAGCAATAAAGCTGGCTCGAAGATGCCCTTGAGACTCTGATTTCTTGGGGGAAAGGAACAAGAGACACAGTCTTACTGGGTACACCTTAGATATAATCAGTGGATTCTTCTCTGAGGGAGGGGATCGATTCCTCCCTCTAGGCAGCAATTGACAATTTTAAATATACACATATGATTGACTATTGGGGGGGGGGGTCGGTGAAGTGGGTGAACCACAGACAGAAACAGATATTCCTCCCCATATCTGTTTGTTGTAGCAGTAGGAGTTTCTATCTGTCCGTCCATCCATCCATCCTTTCTGTTTTGCATTCCTACCAATGGGGGAACGGATTCTATGCAGTTCACACAAGCCAAAGGAGATTTTGGTCATACCTTTTGGTTAGCCCAAGGAACAAGCAGAAGTCTATCTAGAACAAGGGTCACCAAACTTAGCAACTTTAAGACTTGTGGTCTTCAACTCCCAGAATTCTTTAGCCAGCTATGCTGGGATTCTGGGAGTTGAAGTCCACAAGTCTTAAAGTTGCCAAGTTTGGCCACCCCTAATCTAGAAACATGGCTTGTTTGGAATATGGCATCCTGAAAATGCCCCCTCCCTTTTCAATAAATCCCCATGGTTTTGTTGGAAAGAATATGTCTGTAACTTTTTCTTTCTCTTTTGTTTTTATCTTTACAGGTGATTCTCTGCTGGAGGCATAGAGTTATAGCTGGACACAGGGCTCATGCATACCTGAGGAATATCACACAGCTCTTCCTTCCTTCCTGCCTGCCTGCCTGCCTTCATTCCTTCTTTCCTTCCTTCCTTCCTTCCTTCCTTCCTTCCTTCCTATGATTGTTTTTTTTAAAGATTTCAATAACTAGGTCATATATTTGTAACGGTCCCGTCTTTATTATTTTTTTAAATGGGGAAAAAAAACACTCTTTCCACTGTTTTGGGTTTTGTGGCCAGACAGTAGTAGGGATTTGGCCTAGAAGCACTAGGCAGATTTTGATGAGAGATCTCTGCATTTGGCCCTGAGTGGCGGCCTAGATTTCCCAAGCAACAGATGTGAGGCTGATATAGGCCTTCAGGCAATTCTCTACCTGGTTGGATTATGATCTCTATCGCTCTGAGCCACACCAGATGGAGGTAATGAGATAGGTAATCTAGCATATGTGAAGGCAGACAAGATGGGAAGGTGGTCTTAAGCCTAGAGCTGGACTACTGTAGACTCCAAGGGTGAGGCCCTGACTTAATTTCCTGCTGTGCATTCCCCTGCCTCCGGCCCACTCTGTGTATGTGTGAAAAAAAAAGAACCAGGAATTCTACCTCCTGATGGGCCTCTCTTTGTGTTGTTCCGTAGACAATCATTAGAAGTTTCTCCTTGCCGACGTGATATAGTACGGCTCAAATGCCAATTCATCTTTTTTTCTCTTTTGCTGTTGAATAGAACTAGGAGGATTTTCTTACTCCTTTGGCCAGTTTTTCTGTCCAAAGCTATCACCCTCCAAAGTTGCTTGAGATTTCATCTCCACAGGTTTGCCGTCTGTGTGGCTAAAAATCTGGTCCGAGGAAGGTTTCTCTAGGCCTTGTTTTCTACACTGTATATTTTGATAGCTGTCTTATTGTTTTTCTGAACCTTGTATTGCTTTCTGCTTTAGCATAGCTTTTACGTATGCTGGAGCCTCTAACGGCTCCCTCCGAGCATGCATCGCAAGGCAGCAAGAATGCGTACAGCAGGTTTAGGGTGATACACAAGATGGACTGCATGCTGGTGTGCACTGGGCCGGGGTGCAACTGGGCTTCACACCACAAAAGCAACACTTTTCATCTAGTTGGGTGAAGAGACAATGTGATTCTTGTCATGGCACTGTGCCTCACCTCAGAGCCTCCTCTGGCCACTCCAATAGCTGGAAGAAGAGTCCAGAAGCTTCTGCATGTATGTCTCATGTGGGCAGAATGCACTTGTGACTCCTGGAACTGTTAGCAAAGCGATGGGAAGCAAAGGATTTGGAGATGGGACATGTTGCTTCGGGATGCATGGTGTAAATTTTCATCGAAAAGAGCCAAGCCCACCTTGGAAGCTCTGCACAGCCCCAGTATACTCACAGGTGGGCCACACAGTTACCAACCTGGACCTGAATAAGAGAATTTTATCTTCTGGTGTTGTGGGGCAGGGCCCCTTTAGCTGTCTTCAAACCCATCTCTTGGTTCCAGTTCTATTTCTGCTGAATCCTGCCTCATTAGGTAAGGAAAACTGGGCAGCTCTGGTCCTTTCTGACACCTCTTAATTCCCCTTCTAGTGGAGATACACCAACAGTACCATCCAGCAGTGCCTTCCGAGAACAAACCAGCATTTCTGCTGTCACACCTACAGGCCTCTGATGCACATATGTGCAAAACCTCCAAGAGTTGCCATGCAAGTATTACAAGATCATGAGTACTGGGATACATTAAT